CAAAAGCATCTTCTAGTTCTAAGCCGAAAAGGTATAAAATATTATGTTATGGATTACTTTTAGTTCTTCCACGCCCTCCTGTTCCACTTATCCCTTCAATCCCCAGGGATTCAGTACTCAGAGCATTTCCCTCGTATGCTGAAGCAAGAAAGCCCCAATCTTTTTTCAAGGCACGTGATTGCATTCCTAATTCTATCTTTGGTTCCTTCACCGCTTCCCGAAATTGACCTGATTAGCCACACCGGTCAAGGGCCTATTTCATCGTATTTAAGAGACTACTCAGGATAAATTCTTCAACAGAAGACTCACAAAGGGATCTGACAAGGCCAGGGCCCTTTCCCTCCCCTTATTTTGAAATTTGAGTGGGTCAAAGGTAGGAGGTCTTGAACCATGAGTTAGTTGCGAAAATGCCCCTAGGAAGGCAGTCTACCACAAGATCAAGTTGGAGGAGCAGTCCGTCGTTTCCATGCCAATACAATATTCCATCAATCAAAGCATAATTCAAACTATACTGGCACCTGAGCTTTCTAAAGAATACCAATTCTTCCGAACCGAAGCGCACGCGCATACCTCTGTTATAATACTAAGTGGATTTATACAAAATATATTGTACTGCAAGTTCAATAGTATCTTGAACTCATATACCGATGCTTCATTACCAGCACTCTTAGCTTCTTGTCTTTTCCCGAAAAGGTTTAACACAAAGTTACATTAGTCTAGCGGGTCAACATGATGTAATTATGAGCTCTTATTATTTTATATGATTTAAGAGTTGTTCAACAGGCTCTATACAGACCCTCACATGGGGCCAGGTCCCATGTGATTTTTTTCCCCAAAAATGAACCAACCACTCCATCCCAGTGTCTTATCTACGCCAAATCTGTAAACCTTCAACCTGTACACGTAGCGTGATTCGTTTGAATTATATAGGTTCTATCCAATACTTATTGATAGCTCCTTAATAACTTGAAACTAAGCCCCCATTTGGCCCCATTAAATTTTTTTTTTCTCTTACTTTCAATTACACAATCTTTTATAAGATAATATTACACGTAAATCAAAAAAATTTCATTCTTTTTTAATCACTTATTTTTCAAAAAAAAAAAAAAACTATTTAACCCATTTTCATTTCAAAAAATGGGGGCCAAACATGAATTTTATAAGTGATGAAAGTTTAGAAAACTATAAACACGCAAAAAAGATCGTAGTAATCCAAAATAGAACACGAAAAAATAAAAATAAAAATAGGTTCTGACACCCCCCTCACGTCCCTAGACGTGCAACCTTAGGAGAGAAGCTTTCTTGTTCCTCTTTTCTAGAGTAAACCTCGCAGTCTTTGTATTCAGTTCCAACTCTTCGTTGTAGTTAGTATTTTAGAGAACAGAAAAGGCAGAGGGGTGCCCTATTTTTTACCCTGTCCAAGAAGTTTAGAGAATAACTATGAACAATTGAAAGTTTGGTACACATAGAATCTAGCAAGCTCACATGCAAATGTTGGAAAATGGAAAAGTTTGAACTCTGAAAATGTCCTCATTTCAGGACGGAGGAGATGAATATTTGATGAAATAATAATGCTATTTACCCTCATTGAGTTTACAATCCCAGGTTAGGTAGCATTGCTACATAGTATTACTCTTGATGAAGTAGAGATCTAGATATTTTAATTTGGCTTTAATTTTGAAAGATTTGTTTCAAGATTTGTCTCATCATTTCTTCATACAACTTTTCGTGAAACAACTCTTGCATTTTTCTTGAATTGGCAATATTTTGAAAGGTCTTGCCTTTTAGATAAATAGACACATCCAAAAATTATAAATAAAACTTTCAATTGACATTTGATCATCAATTTCAAAAGATAATCTTCCTAAAATTATGCTTATCTTGTTCAAAAAATTTCAGAAAATCAGAAAGAAAAATGATACTCAAATAGGGAAAAAAGGGTGATCTGTCAGCTCATGATTGAGTATTTTTGTGGTTTGTTTTTCGAACTTTCAATGAAAACTTGTCAAGTATAGTTTGAAAAAAAAAATTATGTAACTGAATCTGGCCGTGTAGCATGATTGAATAAGATATTATGTTTGTCAGCTTCTTGATGACAATGATGTTAAATTTGTTAGTACGATATCCACTCTGTTTTGAAAGACAATTGCTCATAGACATTTGACTCTACGTGAGCAAATTTGTTATAAAGAGATGGTGGATTGGACATACTCTAATTATCTCTTTTATTACCTCTCCAATTATTTGTAAGTAGAATAAATTTTGTTTATAATGCATATACGTACACACGATTGTATTGTTAGATGAACATGTATTGTTATACATCTTCTTGATATAACATGAACTAAATCAAAATTCCGTTTTGTTTAGATAAAAATTAGATTTTTAATAGATTTTGATAAAATATATGATTGAAAATAAATTTAATGAAAAATGAATTTCATAAAACGAGTATTAAACAAAGTCCAAGAATGGCGTGAGAACGAGTTGATACCTGCTATCTATTTTTGTTGTTCAATCAATTACAAATTGACATATCATAACAAATTAAAATCAATCTTAGCATCAATTTTAATTTTTCATTATGTATCAATTTGTAATTGAACGGACAACAAATTGAACAACATAAATGAAAAGTAGATCTCAACTATTGTGAGAACGTACAAAAACGACAAAAGATTTTGGCAAGCTCGTAGATTAATTACATTAGTTTGGCCCTCATTAGTCATTAAAATTGTAATTAATTTTTATCTCTCTTTATTAACCATATATTATCTAATAAAATAAGGCTAATTATATTACCACTACAAATTTTAATTACTACACCACATTGTAATTACACTACAATTAAAATATATTTTCAATGAATACACCACAATAAATTTACAATTACTCCTAATTCAATAAAAACAAAGAATTGAAAAATAACATTAATATAATATTGTGGTATACTTATCACCAATATTAATCATCATTTTCTCAACATTTCCCCTCATTTAAATTGAATGTTTGTCACAAATAATTAATATGTCTGAAAGGATCCTTTAAAGTTGTCAGTAATTTGTTTATGTTACCATTTTTATTCGAAATGTAAATTTTTAATGTATTAGCAATTTCAGTTTTTAATCTTGGAAGTCTATTTTGGAAGCACTTTTAAGTGGAAATTAAAAAATTTTATTGACAACATCCTTATAATTTCATGGATAAAAAGGTTTTAATAATTCATTGGACGCATTTAAAACCCAACTTGAGGAAGCATTTATGACATATTTTTGATAAATTGGACATGTTTCATAATTGAATTAATAGACATAAATTTTATATACGATTTATTCATACTTCATCAGTAGTAAAGTATTACGTATAATTGTATATATTGAAGTCGTCGTCATTTTCCTAACATTTAGGACAAATAAAATTGAATTATGAGAAGTTATAAAAAAAATTAAATTTATTACGATCATGTAGAAAATACAATATAACAATAAAATCTTTTGTTGATTAAGAACAATTTTCAAAAATTTATATACCCCATTGACAAGTATCCACGAAAGCTGACACACCTATACACAAAGTCATTTATGGTTTACCTATATATATGCAATTCATGGTAATGAGTGGTACAGCTTGTGTATGTTCCATATGATGGATGCGCGTAATTCATGAAATTATGGTGAGTATATATACGCGTAAATTCATAAACCCATTTAACAATTAAAAATTAGAATCTTACATATTTGTTTTAAAATCATAACAAATTTGTTTAGCTTAACAAAATAAAAATAAAAAAACAAATTCTTAATTTTCAAACTTGAAAAATAAATTCATTTCCCGTAAGGGAAAAAATTATCTTGTCGCCATGGAAGAAAACAAAAGCCGCTGGAAAAAATTATAAACAATGAGATGTTGAGGAAAAAGAAAGAAAGAAATTATGCTTATATTTGTGGTGTAATAATAATTTATTTAATTAAAAAGTATACTAAAATTCTAATTGTGTAATTTTACTTAAGGATGTTTTATTAAATAAGAAAATTGTGGTGCACTTCATAAAATTTGTAGTGGTAATATAATTATCCATAAAATAATATTACACGAATCAAGGATTTTTTTCCTTTTTAATCACATATTTTTTATAAAAAATATAATACTATTTCAACCATTAAAATTTTAAATAATGGGTACAAACGGTCTAGGGTCTTGTTTCCAAGAATCTCACTGTTCGACACTCAATTTAACCATTCTTATAATTGAGCCTTTGTTTGGTGCCTATTGTTTTAAGTTTTGACACTTTTTTTATTATAGGATCATTTTTAACAATACGTTCATAAAATAAGATATTCCACACTTAAATCAAAATTTTTTTCATACTTTTTAATTGTACGTTCTCCTAAAAATAATATTTAAAACTTTTTTTATTTTGAAATAATGGGCACCAAACAGGACTAAGTCCTTGTTTGAGTCATATTATTTTCATAAAAATTCATTTTTGAATAGTGTATTGATGAAAAAGTGTTGCTAAAAATAAGAAAAAAATTAAATTTGTACGTAATGTTATTTTATTAAAAATGTGTAGTTGAAATGAAGTCAAATTACTATTTAAGAATGTATTTTTAAAAAATAATATGGCTCAAGTTGGACCTAAATTTCTCCTAAAAATAATATTTAAAACTTTTTTTTTTTTTGAAAAATAATGGGGACTAAATACTGGATACCATGAAATTAATCACATGAAGTCGATGTCTATTGAATCGATTTGATGGACTAACAAACCCATCCGTGAAAACATTTTTTTATCAATCGTGGCCATACGGTGCTGGCTACTTTGTTGAATTTTTTATGCAGTGCCGTCATTCTCGATTTATGTACTTTTGGAAAATAACACGTTCAGACTCAAATTCAAATGAAATACAGGACATATGATTGAAAAAAAACACTTAAATTATTTTTTGACATATCAATTTGTCTCTCTCCTCTATATTTTTTGATCTGACTAAGCGGCTTTATTCTAAATTATTTGATGCAATCAATAGCCTTTGAAATTCACCAAAACCTACCCGTCTTTCTCTCTACATCTATCTGTTTCTCTCTCTATATAGTAATATTATACTTTCTGGCACGTTAAACCCGGCTTTTTGATGCTAGGTAGGCATTTAATTTTTGTTCTCTGCATGTGTAGTGCGTTACGAGGGCAAACAGATTGAAATTTCACAAGTTTGATTCGTTGCCATTGTTATATATAAAACACCAGTGTATATCGAAAATAATATTACTTGGAGAAGAAAGATGAGACCCCGGATTTACCTTTTCGGAGATTCTATCACTGAAGAGTCCTTTACCCATGGCGGCTGGGGATCTTCTCTTGCAAATCACTTCTGTCGCACTGTAATTTTTACTCACATCCGTACCGTTCTATTATTATTATTATTATAATTTTTTTGATTTGTTTGAATTGATGATAAATGGGTGGTTCGTAGATGGATGTGGTGTTGAGAGGGTATAGCGGGTACAATACAAGATGGGCTCTTAAGGTGGTGGAGAAGGTGTTTCCACCGTCGGAGAGTGGCGGTGCTCCGATGGCAGTGACGGTGTTCTTCGGCGCAAATGACGCTTCTCTTCCCGATAGATACAGTGCCTTCCAACACGTGCCGGTTGACGAGTACAAGAAGAATCTCCACGCTATTATCGCCTTTCTCAAGGTAGTTAAACCCCCACACGTGTACACACATACATCCACCCTGGGCTTCCATTTGTTGAATTTTATTTTTTATTTTCAGTGTAACTATATGGAAAAATAGGAATGTAAATTTCTTGGTTAAAAATGGCCCCTGTTGATCTTATTTTGCTGGTATGATTTAATTACATGATAAAGATTTAATTTAATCAATTCATGAATGTCCCAGTTTTGAATCTCTCCAAACTTTTTTTTTTTTTTTTTTTGTGCGCGTGCACTCTAGCATGATGAAATGGACCAAGTCTAAGGTGCAATTGGGTCCTATATGACTGGTGGGCCTTAGTAGGATCGTGCAAGAAAAAAGTATACATGCAACTATCAACTATTGAAGAGGGCCAGTACTAGCTATTATTGTTTGCCACTTTGCTATATTCTTTCAATTCATTTGCTATCAAAGTGTGCAATGCATGGAGTGCCCTGTCGTTTTCATTAGAATTAGCCTTTGCTATCTCAGAGTGTATGTGAGGTTTTGCTGTGATTGCTAGCATTGCACTTGACAAAATATATGGTCTCAAGTCTCTAGAAAAAATGATGAACTGGAAATTGTTTTTCATTATCAGTAATTGAGTGCTAAGGGATAAATCCCACGCTAGTTAAATAGCGACATATAGATTAACATATAAGGTATTAGACTATTCCTCTTAATATCTTTTAAGATACCTTTAGATTTTAACATGGTATCAGAGCTCATTAAACTCTAATGAGCAATTCAATCCGATTAAGACTAAAAAATAAGCAAGTGGATTTCAAAATTGGTCTGTTTAAAAGAGCCACCTTTTCCCAGGAGCATGTAAAGGGATAAATTCCACATCAATTAAATACCGAAATATAGACCAACATATTAGGATTTGGCTACTCCTTTTAATAAGATTGACCTTTTAAAATGGAACCTCAAGTTTTATTTATATAACAATTGAATAACAAAGTTTCCAAAAAACTAGTATTTGTGATAACTCACTTCCTATTATCAAAGAAACCTCGAATAATTTCTGAAGAATTTCTTTGTCCTTTTTGTAGTGCGCTATTGTACATATATACACAATCTTATAATATACAAGGAAATAAATAAATTGCAATTCTCCAAAAATAGTTTATCTAATCTATTCCAAATATAACCCCCCAAATATATACGGTAACATCCCCCCCTCAAATTGATGCTGGGAAGTCAACCAACAACAATTTGCCAACAAGAAATTGATGTCGCTATTGAGTCAATGCTTTGGTGAAGACATCTGCCACTTGAAGGTTAGAAGAAATGTAGGGAAGAGAGATCACTCGATCCTCCAAAATATTCCGAATAAAATGACAATCAACCTCAATGTGCTTGGTGCGTTCATGGAAGACAGGATTGTTTGCAATCTGTATAGCACTAGTGTTGTCCACATGAAGAGGAGTAGAATTAGGTTGAGGAAATCCAATCTCTTTGAGTAGACCACGTAACCAAATAATTTCAGAACAAGCCATGGACTTGGCACGATACTCAGCTTCAGTGGGTGATTTAGAAACACGATCTTATTTCTTACATTTCCAAGAGATCAAGGCATCGCCTAAAAACATACACCAACCCGTAGTCGAGCGACGAGTATTAGGACACCCAGCCAAATTAGCATCACTGTAGGCAAAAAGTTGGAAGGAAGACCCTCTAGGAAAGAACAACCCACGAGTAGGTGAACCACGAAGATAACGAACAATGCGGCGAACAGCAGCAAGATGGAAATGTCGAGGACTAGACATAAACTGACTGACCTGATGGACGGCGTAAGAGATATCTGGATGAGTGGTGGTCAAATAGATAAAACTCCCAACTAAACTGCGATATGGAGTAGGATCATCCAGAAGGTTCCCTTCAACTTTCCTGTACTTCACATTTACCTCCATTGGAGTGTCCACCGAAGAAGAGTCTTCCAACCCAGCTAATGTAATAAGATCCTGAACATACTTATGCTTGTTTAAGAAAATACCATTGTCCTGATGGTGAACTTCCAGTCCCAAAAACTATGTAAGCTGACGAAGATCTTTCATATGGAAAGTAGCATGTAAAAACTGTTGAAGTTTCGTAATTAAACTACAATCAGTGCCGGTAATGATGATGTCATCCATATAAACCAAAAGAAGCACAATACCTGTGGTAGACTTCCGGAAGAAAAGAGAAGAATCACACTAACTCTGTGTAAAATTGAAGTTAATGAGTTTGTGATGAAATTTCTCAAACCTTGCCCGAGGAGCTTGCTTGAGGCGATACAGAGAACGGCGTAGTCTACAGACATCACTAAATGAAGAGGTAGGCATACCAAAGGGAAGTTTCATATAAATCTCCTCTTGAAGATCGCCATGAAGAAAGGCGTTCTTCACATCCATCTGATGTAGGATCCATGATTGTGAGGCAGCAATAGCTAAGATGTTCGAACTGTGATCATTTTGGCAACAGGAGCAAATGTTTCCTTATAGTCGACCCCATATTCCTGTCAATTGCCCAGAGCTATAAGACGAGCTTTGTATCGATTCAACGAGCCGTCAGAGCGAAGTTTCATTGCAAAAACCCACTTGCTCCCAATAGGTTTCACATTCGGAGGGCAAGACACGACGTCCTAAGTGCGGTTCTCCTCAAGTACCTGAAGTTTTGCTTTCATTGTATTTTGTCAATACTCATGTTCTATGGCATGTTTGTAGCAAGAGGGAATGGAAATAACAGATAAAGTAGCGACAAGAGAAATAGGAGATGAGAAACCATACTGATCACGTGGTCGAGAAGGACGTGTAGACCGACGAAGATTGGTGGATATCGTAGCAGGATCAGGTGTCGGGTCAAGATCTTGAGGGGGCTCACGAGGACGTCGTTCATACACAAAACCAGGTTTATATCGTGCCACAGTAGATGGGGAATCAGGGAAGCTAGGCAGAATAGATAAAGGTATGGATGATTGCTCAGCATGAGAGGAAAAGAAATATCGACTTTCTAGAAAAACCACATTCCTAGAAATACGGATACGTTGTGCATGAGGGTCATAACAAACATATCCCTTTTGAGAGATAGCATAACCAAGAAACGCACATTTAATAGGCTGAGCAGCGAGCTTATATCGTTCATAGGCCAAAAGATGCACAAAACAAACACAACCAAATGTACGAAGATTAGAATATGAAGGTGAATATCCAAACAACTTAAAGAAATGAGAAACATGATTTAAAATAGGGGAGGGTAGGCGATTAATCAAATGAACCGAAGTGGAAAGTGCTTCACACCAAAATCGAGGAGGCACGAGTGAGTCTAAAAGTGTTCTAACCATATCTGGAAGATGACGATTCTTTCTCTCATCGACACTGTTTTGCTGCTATGTCGAAAGACAAGAACGTTGGGAAAGGATACCTTTGCTTTGGAGAAAGTCTTGGAACTCATTGGACATATATTCACCTTCAGAATCAGATCTTAAGATCTTGATGCTGGTAGAGAATTGAGTCTCAAGCAGGGTAAGGAAACGCTTGAAGACTGAAAAGACTTCGGCTTTGGCCCTTAAAAAATTCACCCAAGTGAAATGACTAAAATCATTGATGAATGTAACAACATACTTATACCCTGCGTGAGAAATATGAGGTGAGATCCTTCAAACGTCACTGTGAATAATATCGAAACATTGTGAGGCGCAAGAGCCATGAGAGGGAAAAGGTAGGACTTTGCTTTTGCCAATTTTGTATGCAGTACAGTCAAAAGAAAGATCAAGAGAATGACATCTTTTATTTTCTAATAAACCAGAATTAAATAAAGTACGAAGTACATCTGAGTTTGGGTGGCCTAAACGATTATGCCACAACTTATTTCCAAGACTAGTAGCAGTACATGCAAAAGAAAGTAAAGGAGAACGAGGAACAATTGGGGAGATATCCAAGGAAAACAGACGTCCCACTTTAGGCCCCTTCGCAATCATCTTCCCGAACACTGGATCCTGCACAACACAACCATAATAAGAGAAATGGACATCAAAATTATGATCAACCAATTGACCAACAGAAACTAAATTAGTAGAAAGATTAGGAGACAAAAACATTAGTCAAGGAAGGGGAAAGGTCACCAATAGCACTGATAGGCAAAGAATTGCCATCAGCTGTGTGAATGTTTAGGTTACCATCATACTTTTTAATATTGGAAAGAGAAGTAACAGTATTGGTAATATGGTTGGAGGCACCAGAATCAAAGTAGCACGGGTTAGAAGAAACTGGAAGAGTACCTGAGAGTCCAAAAGCAGAAAAATCGGAATTGATCATCTGTTGTACCATTTTAGGAGTGAGGGTGGATGGATTAGCGGAGGCAGTAGGAACAGGATTATAAGTTACGTGTGAGGCAATAGGCAGTGCAGCAGAGCTAGAGACACCAGTGGAGGTATGATAGGCAACAGTAGACTTCCTTTCAGGACGAATAGGACAAACAGAGATGTGATGGCCTTGTTTCTTGCACAGTTACAATATTTCTTAGGAGAATCCCGAGCAATATGACCAAAAGATTTACAGTTATAGCACTGAATGACACGCATGTCCCAACCCTTATTCCTCCCTTGGGTTGCATAAGCTACTGGAATAGGAGTATTAACAGTAGCTCTGTGTTCCATGGTAGCCTGAGTCAAGATACGCTGCTCCTCACGCAAGAGTTCTCCCAAGCAGGCATCCAGAGATGGTACATGATGGCGATTCATTAGATTAGATCGTGTAGCCTCAAAATCTAGACGCAACTTCATTAAGAATTGATTCCGTTTTCTTGTCTCATGCACTGTCTGAACGGCAGATAGAGCCGCAGCAGGAACATTAGCATAAACCATATCGGAATATTCAGACCAAAGATTTTGGAAACCAGAAAAATATTCCTCAATGGAGAGACTCCCCTATGTAAAATTAGCTAACTCATATTCCAACTGAAATCGATGAGCCGTGTTGTCTTGTTTGTAAACCTTAGCAGTTTTGTAAGGTCGCAGGTTG